TTTATCCCCAGAGCTAGGGTGGGGCTTCGCTAGCAGCGGTGGCTCTTCCATCCCAAGGACCGGCCCATAGATTTCCACTGTTCTCCTCTCCTCTCTGCCTCAGGCACTGGACCCAGCTGTTCCTCTTCCTCCTCATCAGCTACCTCCAGACCTGGGGCTGTTGACTCTCCATCTGAGGGCTGACGGACGGCCCAGGCTCCACCTCCGTCTCTCTCTCTCTACCAACTCCATTCCCTCTTCCTCCTCGGAGTTCTCAGGTTGCCCTGATGCTGACCCTGATTCCCACACCTCCTCCTCCTCCTCCTCTGTTTCAGCGGCCGGAGTGGCCGGCGGCCAACAGGCCACACCAAGTCGATTTTTTATCACGACGGGAATGGGTGCTTCTCCAGCGCTGTATATCTCTCTATATGTTGCCACGCGCTCTGCATATGTATGGACCGATGGCCCGTCATTCTAATTCCATGCGCAGCCACACTTATAACCATTGTTGGGTTTGTGAGGGCGTCACGCTTCATAGCTGCATGTCTCACTTGCCTTCATTCGTGTTTCCTACATGTACATAGAAACATACCAAAGCAGACATTCCTAGAGACATTACAGGACAACTTCATTGAGATGGACATTCTTACTTCTTCCCGACATGACGGTGCTTACAATGATGGGTATGTTGATATGCTTAATGCGATAATTTATTTTTATTTATTTTATTTTTTTTAATCTTGCATGCCAAAACCCAGCTCATCTGTGATGCCTCTCCCCCTAACTTCCTGTCTCATTTAATCCAACTTTTTCCCCCACTTCCCTTTCTTTTTCCCGCCGAATGAAAACCATGAGGTACTTCGGCGCAAAGGAACATTAAAAAAAAAAATTGTCCTGTACATATTAATGGCAGCCTCGTTAATATGCTAATTCATGCCATCTCATTTTGGCTTCGTCCGGATTATCATCTCACTAACGCCGGAGGCAACGTTGGCCGTTTTAAGAGGACGTGGAAGATGGGGCCGCAGGTTGATTTTTTTTTGAATCGGTGCGGATTTCAATCTACCTAATCTGATGTTTTCCAAGCGTGACAGGAAAAAAAAAAACAAAAAAGAAATTTCTCTCCTTTTGACCCTTCTGCTTATTCTCTTCCACAATATTTTTCCTGTTTTTATGTTTCCCCTAGGAAAAGAAACTTTGAAGAACGTATTATACAGGTAGTCCTCGAATTACGACCACAACCGAGTTCCAAATTTCCATGGCTAAGTGAGACCGTTGTTAAGTGACTTCCTCCCCCCCCCCCCCCCCTCCCGTTTTACAACCTTTCTTTCCACGGTTGTTAAGCGGCTCACTGCAGTTGTTCAGTGAGTTGTTAAGTGAATCTGGCTTCCCCATTGACTTTCCTCCTCAGAAGGTCGCAAAAGGGGATCATGTGACACCCCCCCCCCCAAGACACACTGCGACCGTCATAAAGATGAACCGGTTGCCGAGTGTCTGAATTTTGATCATGTGACCACAGCAGTGGTGAAATTCAGCCGGATCTATCCGGTTTGTGCGATCCGGTAGGGCTGGCGGCGGGAGTCTCCGCCCACCCACAGGGACGTCATCACGTCCCGTTTTTGACCCTCTGCGCATGCGCAGAAGAGGCGTGCGCGCTCACATTTCCGATCCGGTAGTTAAGGTAAGTGCATTTTACTCCTGGACCACAGGGATGCTGCCACGGTCGTAAAGTGTGAAAAAATGGTCACGAGCCCCTTCCGACGGTCACTAAATGAACTGTTGTACGTCGAGGACTACCTGTATTTCAAATAACGGGAAAGTAATCAGTATATGGTGCCTCAGAATTATGCTGCATTCTGAAAAAAAGCATCAGGGCTACAATTGAGTAAGATTTAATGACAAATAGGTAATTATTAGTTTTCTGGCCCCAAGGGAATAGCCTAGATGAAGCCAGGCAATGGGGATAATAATAATAATAATAATAATAATAATAATAATAATAATAATAATTCACCAGAATCTTTTTAAGACTCAGCGATTCATTTGAATACTCACCCCCTACTTCCTTCTTGTTACACCCTATATCAGTGGGTGGGTGGGGGGTGTCTTCCACTGTTTTTATCCACCGAAGCAAATAATTCAATAATTGAAGGGGTCTGAGGAATCGTGAAGAAATCCTTATTTATTACGAACTTATTTAGTGCATTAACAGAGGGACAGAATCAAGATCACGTGAAGAGTTAATACCACTTTATAAGGCCTTGGTAAGGCCACACTTGGAATCCTGCATCCAATTTTGGACGCCATTTTGTAAAAAAGATGTGGAGACTCTAGAAAGAGTGCAGAGAAGAGCAACAAAGAGGATTAGGGGACTGGAGGCTAAAACATAGGAAGAACGGTTGCTGGAATTGGGTATGTCTAGTTTAATGAAAAGAAGGACTAGGGGAGACATGATAGCAGTCTACCGATATCTCAGGGGCTGCCCCAAAGAAGAGGGAGTCAAGCTATTCTCCAAAGCATCTGAGGGCAGGACAAGAAGCAACGGATGGAAACTCATCAAGGAGCGAAGCAACCTGGAACTACGGAGAAGATTCCTGACAGTGAGAACAATCCGTGGAACAACTTGCCTCCAGAATTTGTGGCTGCTCCAACACTGGAAGTTTTTAAGAAGAGGTTGGATAACCATTTGTCGGAAGTCGTGTAGGGTTTCCTGCCTAAGCAGGGGGTTGGACTAGAAGACCTCCAAGGGCCCTTTCGGTTTTCTAATCTATTCTAAGGGAGGGAGGGAGGGAGGGAAGGAAAGAAGGAAGGAAGGAAGGAGGGAGGGAAGGAGGGAAGGAAGGGAAAGAGACTACAAGGAAGGAAGAAAGGAAGGAAGGAGGGAGGGAAGGAAGGGAAAGAGACTACAAGGAAGGAAGGAAGGAGGGAGGGAAGGAAGGAAGTAGTGAGGGAGGGAAGGAAGGGAAAGAGGAAGGAAGGAAGGAAGGAAGGAAGGAAGGAAGGAAGGAAGGAAGGAAGGAAGGAAGGAAGGAAAAGGGACTGCAAGGGCAGGACAAGAAGCAATGGGTGGAAACCAATCAAGGAGAGAAGAAACTTAGAACTAAGGAGAAATTTCCCAACAGTGAGAACAATTAATCAGTGGAACAACTTGCCACCAGAAGTTGTGAATGCTCCAACACCGGAAATTTTTAAGAAGATGTTGGATAACCATTTGTCTGAAGTGATGTAGGGTTTCCTGCCTGAGCAGGGGGTTAGACTAGAAGTCCTCCAAGGTCCCTTCCAACTCTGTTATTCTATTCTATTCCATTTAATCTGTCACACAGCCACCTGTTCTCAAAGACACGATGCTCACCTCGATTTAAAACTTTATTTATTATTTAGAAATAAAAAGCAAAATAAGACACAGCAAAAACATAGAACACAATTGGCCATCAACAACAATCCAGATAATCGTTGCATGAGCTGTACAGGTGGTTCTCGCCTTACGACCACGGTTCCTATTTCTGTTGCTGAGTGAGAGAATGGTTGAGTGAGTTTTGCCCCGTTTTACGACCTTCCTTGCCCACGTTGTTCAGTGAATCGCTGCAGTCGTTAACTTAGTAACACGGTTGTTAAATGAATCTGGCTTCCCCCCTTGACGTTGCTTGTCAGAGGGTCGCAAAAGGGGATCATGAGGGGACCGTCATAAGTATGAATCAGTTGCGAAGCGTCCGAATTTTGATCACATGACCCTAGGGATGCTGCAATGGTCATAAGTGTGAAAAATGTGAAAAGTCACTTTTTCAGTGCCATTGTACCTTCGAACAGTTACTAAGGGAGGTGTTGTAAGTCGAGGGCTACCTGTAAACTCACGAGCAATGACCCCTGGAAGGCAACGGATCAAACCAAGGGAAATTCTGTCTAAATCTTAGTCTCCCCCTCTTTATTCCCACCAACGAAAAACAAAAAAAGAACAATAAATTCAAACAGTCTGACAGTTACGTCTTCAGTACCTCGGTTGGGTTTAAGTCTGGTTGCCATTCTATCTTTTTAATGCTTGTATTTTTTTTTTTTCTTTCTTTCTTTCTTTCCTTCCTTCCTTCCTTCCTTCCTTCCTCTTCTCTTTCCTTCCTTCCTCCCCTTTCCTTCCTTTCCCTTCCCTTTATTCCCTTGCCTTTCCCTTTCCTTCCCCTTCCCTTCCACTTCCTTTCTTTCTCTTTCTTTCTTCCCTTCTTTCTTTCACTCTCTTTTCTTCCTCCCTCCCTCCCTCTCCTTTCCTCCCCTGTATTCCCTTTCTTTCTTTCCTTCCTTCCTTCCTTCCTTCCTTCCTTCCACTTCCACTTCCTTTCTTTTCCCTTTATCCCCTTCCCTTTCCGTTCCCTTCCCCTTTTTTCTCTTTCTTTCTTTCTTTCTTTCTTTCTTTCTTTCTTTCTTTCTTTCTTTCTTTCTTTCTTTCTTTTCTTCCTTCCTTCCTTCCTCTCCTTCCCTTCCTTTCCCTTCTATTTATCCCCTTTCCTTTCCCTTTCTTTCTTTCTTCCTTTTTTCCCTTCTTTCTTCTGCTCTCTCTTTCCTTCCTTCCTCCCTCTGCTTTCCTTCCTTTCCCTTCCCTTTATCCTCTTTCCTTTCCCTTTCTTCCTTTCTTCCCTTCTTTCTTCCGCTCTCTCCCTTCCTTCCTTCTCTCCTTCCCTTCCTTTCCTTTCCCTTTATCTCCTTTCCTTTCCCTTTCTTTCTTTCCTTCTTTCTTTTGCTCTCTCTCTTTCCTTCTTTCCCCTTTCCGTCCCTCCCTTCTTTCCTCCCCTCCCCTTCCCTTTATCACCTTTCCTTTCCTTCCCCTTCCTTCTCTCCCTCCCTCCCTCCTTTCTCTCTCTCTCTCTCTCTTCTTTCTTTCATTCTTTCTTCCTTCCTTCCTTCTCTTTCCTCTTTTTCTCCCCTTCCCTTCCTCTTCAGTGCATGGTGCTCAATCTGGGTACTCTGTTGTGTTTGCATCGAGGCTTCGGAGCTGTGCATGGATTTTGACCCCTGTCCTTTTCCTCTTTCCGCAGGCACTTCCTCTTCAAGCCTGGAGGGACGTCTCCGCTCTACTGCACCACCTCGCCAGGGTACCCCTTGACATCCAGCACGGTCTACTCGCCACCCCCTCGGCCCCTCCCCAGAAGCACTTTTTCCAGGCCTGCCTTTAACCTGAAGAAGCCATACAAGTATTGTACCTGGAAATGTGCCGCTTTCAGTGCTATCCTCATCTCCATCACTCTGGTGGTGCTGCTGGCATATTTTATAGGTAAGCTGCTACTCTTGATTTCCTACTTGGAGAAGAAGCCAATAGTAGTAGTCGTGATGGATAACACCTCCCTTGGGGGCATGGTTCATTTCGATGGAAGAGAATATTTGTAATTCAGACTTAAGCTGCGGGGTCCTCGGTGGTCTCTGAGCAGGATTGTTTTCTTACAGACGTTTCATGACCCAACTAGGGAACGTCATCAGTGCTAGAAGGGAGTGTGGATTGCGGAAAAGAGGAGGAGGGGGAGGAGGAAGACTATGGGGATCCTTAGTGCACTCTGAGCTTGGTTGTTTTCTTGCAGATGTTTCATTAGCCAACTATGTAACATCATCAATAGTAGAAGGGTGTTCTATCCCCAACCACACACACACACACACACCAACAGACGTTCAAGAGTTAAAAACCAAACCAGCCAGCAAAATCCTTTTCCTTATGATAACGGAACTTGGCAACAATCTAGTGGCTGCCTGCCAAGAGTTTATTATTTACGAAGAGGAGAGATAACTTCTCCCCACTTCTGATACATCAAAAGAAACAGCTCAATAATTACGGAGTTAATCAAGTCCAGAGATAATCCAGCAAAGTCTATAGCAAAAAGTCCGGCAATGCAGAATGGCGTGGAAGCTTTCAGCTTTGTTCGTCACAAGGCTTGACTGGCCACCACGCTCCCTTTTATATCCTGTGGGGTGTGGTCCAGTGACTCAGCCTAATCTCGGGCACGCCTTTTCTTCTGTTGCGCGCGCTTATCTCTGCGACGCTGGCGTGGGTCCAACCAAGACTCATTACCCTCATCACTGTCCATCTGTGGATGCGTGGACGTGCTTGGCCCGGGCCCTATCTCTTGCCCTTCGGCGGACACCGAAGGCATTGCCAGAGAGGAGGGTCCTGGAGAGGGAGGCCTTGCCAACTCCTCTCCTTCACTCTCGGAGTCCTCTCCTGCCGATGACACAGGCTCAGGTAACGGAGCCACAACAAAGGGATTGTGGATTGTGGAAAAGAAGAGGAGGAGGAGGAGGATAGATAAGGAGTGGAGGAAAGCATTGCTGGAAAGCAGCTGCTTAAGATGCGAACCAGCTAAAAAATAAATTTAGGAGGAAGTGGAAGAGATTTTACCGGAGAATAGCAGCTAAACTGTGAACCAGTTTAAATAAATACAGATAGGAGTATTGGAAAATACAACTGGGAAATAGATATTTAAACTATGAACCAGTTAAAAATTAGATTCAGTAAAATATGAGAATAAACTTGAACTAAATAAAATAAAGTATTGTGGAAATTACAAACTATAGAAGGAAGTGTTGACTGTTTATGAAATGACTTTAAGAGAGGAGGAAAATACTTTTTGTCAAGATTATGGATATTAGATGTCATTTAAGAGAAGTAAAATATAGATTTGAGGTAATGGGTTTTAGGATTGAGGAATATATATGAAATATTGATTGTTAAAATGCTAAAGATTTAGAACAGTGTTTATTGTTTAGAATTTTGGGTGTAATAGTAGAACGATAAATGTTTAGAATAAGATTTTTTTTCTTTTTTCTTTGTTCTTTAAAGATGTAAATGGATAAAATTTGGAACAAAATTGATTGAGGGAATGTGAATAATTATACTCATTTTATGCCGGATCAAACCCTTGCTCTAAAATGATGTATTTTATGTTTTATGTTTAAAAAAAATAAAAAAATAAAAAATAGGAAAAAAAAATAGTAGAAGGGATTGTGGAAAAGAGGAGGAGGAGGAAGAAGAAGACTATGGAACTCCTTGGAGCTTTCTGAGCTCGGTGACATTTCATTACCAAAGTAGGTAACATCATCAGTGCATCATCAACGTCTGCAAGAAAATCACCAAGCTCAGAGAGCACCAAGGAGCCCAGGAGATTCATTCTGCTCTTTAACCTGAGTATAGATAGTCCTCAATTTACCAACCATAATTGCGACTGAGGCAGTTTTTACTATATTGATTGACTGATTAAAATTATATGCAGCCCATCTCTCTTTCCAAAGCGACTCCATTAATGGAGTAGCATCCAGTTTTAGAACTTTTCCTGCCATGGTTGTTAGCAATAGCAATAGCCCTTAGAGCAGGGGTCAGCAACCGGCGGCTCTGGAGCCGCATGTGGCTCTTTCATCCCTGTGCCGCGGCTCCCTGTCACTCAAAATATGTGTCACAACCGCCAATGTGCGACACCCGCCAGCACGCAATTTATTGAGTTTTTCAACCCCCAGTAGGCCAACCATGGATGAATCCAAGAAAAGAAAAAGTTTCAGAAGAAAACAGAATGTTTAATTCAACTACATATGCTAGTTTTGTGGCCGCTCAAGAAATAGTCAGGCACGGGAAGGGTTTTGTGGCTCCCGGTGTTTTCTTTTCTGTGGGAAACGGGTCCAAACAGCTCTTCGAGTGTTTAAGGTTGCAGACCCCTGCCTTAGACTTATATACCGCTTCATAGTGCTTTTACGGCCCTCTCCGGTTGTAAATTGAGGACTACCTGTAATCCTAACGGGAATATAGTTCTATGCAGGGATGGGATTCAGAAATTTTAGCAACTGGTTCTCTGCCTGATTGCTGGGTGGCCGTGGCCTACTCAGCCTCCTGCCCCACGGGAGGGAAGTGGGGGTAGTTTTCACCCTCCCCAGACTCCGGAGGCTTTCCTCAAGCCTCTGAGAGGGGAAAAACGGCCTCCCCCTGGCTCCGGAGGCCCTCCAGAGGCCAGAAACAGACTCGTTCCGGGACTTCCTGAACTTCCAGTAGGCCCGTTTTTCGCCCTCCCAGAGCTTCCTCGCAGGCGCTGCACTTACCTGGCATCCCAAACGGGCTGCATGGAGACTCCTGGGAGAGGCGGGATGGGGTGGGCGAGGTCAGCCAGACCTTGCAACAACCGGTTTGACAAACCAGATTAAAATTAACAGCCGGTTTGCCCAAACCGGCTGAATCCCACCCCTAGTTCTATGTCTGCTAAGAAAGAAGTTTGATTCCTTCTGGATCTCAGACAAACATGATGACCTTCCAGGTGGCATTTTGAAATTTCAGAGTCATTTCTCCAAGGTTTTCTTCATCGTGATGTGGTACCAGGCTCTTTTGACACCTTAGCAATTTGTGACGTGCTGATGGATAGGTAGCGTGACTTTTGAATGGCAAAGAGAGCATCGCTCCCCAAAGGAAGATAAAGCCAGGATGAGGGGAAAAAAATGGACGTAATTTAATTTCCGTTAATTAAAAGCAATCGTTAGGATTGCTTTCCTTGCATTTAATCCCGTTCCCCACTTTTAACTGTCATAAAAAATTAAGATTTCATAGCAGCAAGGGAAGGGCACATTCAAGGTAGTTGAAGTAGGATGAGCTTGTGTGTATCCTTATTGTAAGTCGGGATTTGCAAACGGAAAGCCAATCCTGCAGATAATGTTTTTATCTCTATACTAAAGGTGCTTTTTTTTTTTATTCAAGCAGCAACTGGACTTTCTGGTTTTTCTTTGAAAATGTTTCGCTTCTCATCCGAGGAGCTTCTTCAGCTCTGACTGGATGATGGGGAAATGGAAGGATTGATACTCCTTGCAGGCAGCTAGTCATTTGCACCATTTTAAAGAGTCATTGAGGCTACTTGGAGGCTGGTATGTGTCAGGGGTGGGTTCTAAAATTTTTTACTAGCGGTTCTGTAGGCGTGGCTTATTTTGTGGGTGTGGTTTGATGGTCATGTGACAATTCTTTAGGATTTAGCAGAGGTACTGGTCTACCAGGCTTTTAACTGCTTGCAGAGCTGTACCGGTCTACCCATTTGTTCTTGGAGCATCCTGGTCTACTCATTTGTTTTTGGAGGCACTGGTCTACTCATTTATTTTTGGAGGTACCGGTCTACCCATTTACTTTTTCAGGCACTGGTCTACTCATTTATTTTTGCAGGCACTGGTCTACTCATTTGTTTTGGAGGCACTGGTCTACCCATTTATTTTTGGAGGCACCGGTCTACTCATTTGTTTTTGGAGGCACTGGTCTACCCATTTATTTTTGGAGGCACCGGTCTACTCATTTGTTTTTGCAGGCACTGGTCTACTCATTTGTTTTTGGAGGCACTGGTCTACCCATTGTTTTTGCAGGCACCGGTCTACCCATTTGATTTCGAGCGCACTGGTCTACCACCACACTGCCTTTTAACACTGATCAGCTGTAGGGCGGCCCATGGAAGCCCCGCGGCAAGAGTTTAAACAGTTTTTTTTCTTCTAGCTGATCAGCTGGGACTCGGAGGCAGTGAATAGATTGGGGGCAAGGCCAAATAAAAGGTAAGAATAACGCGGGCGGGGTGGAGGGCGCAGCTCCCGAACAAAGAGAACCGGTTTGGTGACATCATATCATCACCGCTACCGGCTCGGCAGAACCGAGCCGAACCGGGAGAAACCCACCACTGGTATGTGTCCTCAGGGTCCCCTGAGTGGTGCAAATGAGTGTGGAGCCTTCTTGGAACTGCAAGATGTTTTTCTGCCCTGTTTCCCTTCACTGTTGAGGTGACCCTACTATTCAGGTGACGCCGAGGACACAGACAAACCTCCAAGTGGCCTCAACAATCCTCCAAAAGGATGCAAGCCTTCTGCAAGGTGTATAAATCCTTTGTATGAATTCGTTGTAACTAACCAATTTAGCAAGTCGGGCTCATGTTTATGCAGGTAGTCCTCGACTTACAACCACAATTAAACCCCAGAGCTCTGTTGTTAACGGAGACATTTGTTAAGCGAGTTTTGCCCCATTTTACGACTGTTCTTGACCCAGTTGTCAAGTGAATCGCTGCAGTTGATAAGTCAGTAGCCTGATTGTTAAGGGACTCCAGATTCCCCATTGACTTTGGTTGTCAGAAGGTCGCAAAAGGGGATCACTTGCACCTCAGAACACTGCGACCGTCATAAATATGAATTGGTTGTCAAGTGTCCGAATTTTGATTGTGCAACCGTGGGGATGCTGCAGTGGTCGTAAGTGTGAAAAATGGTTGTAAGTCCTTTTTTTATTGCTGTTGT